GAGAGAGAGAGAGACGGAACGCGACGCGCGTATATTCGCGTGAAAGAGGGAGAAGGAGGGAAAGAGACGGAAGACACGGACGAGTTGCGGATCTAATGATTGGTACTTCTTCGAAATCACGATTCTAACGAGGGTGCCTCGAGACACTCTCACGTGTATGGAGAATAGCGTGTATCGTCGCGAGAAGCGAGACAGCGAGATGAAGAAAGAGAGACGCCGAGATTCGGAAAACACACTAGCGTCGATAGCTTTCCGTAATTAATCACGGGACGCCGGCTGGCGTGAGCGTATTATTACGAATTTTACGCTATTCCGCTAATTACGAGGAGCACTTATGCCGATTAATAATACGTCCGACGGCATAACAGCGCCGTTTTTAAAAAAATATTCCCCATTAAACGAGCTATGTAATGGGGTCTTTGAGATAATCCGCCGCGCATCGGTTAATTAATTAAACGCAATCGTAATCAGCATAGGCCTACAAACCTCCTTCCACCGACAACGCACACGCTTTCCTGTTTTTATCAATATATGTTCAATAAAGGTCGTGAGATTTTCTATCCTCTTTATCCCCGGCATATTGTGCGATACATCGTCACTTTTTCCGTGCGCTCGCTTCCTATCGATTTCGAATTACCGGAACCAGAGATTTTCCTTGGAAAGTATTAGACTTAACAAACAATTAAAACATACCCATATATTACCAGCGGGCAACGAGTCGAGAAACAATTATGGTACGTCACGAGGAGAAAATAACGATGACGAAAGGAAAAAAGTCGCGCGACGATCATTAATATCTGGCGCGATTCGTTACCCGCGCCGCATTAATTATTATGCTTATCTTAGGCAACCGGTATTCTCTGACGTGGGATATTGCAACTGAATAACGTCGGTGGCGAATAACGTTGTCGGCTTTCGTGGAGAGCGAACGGACGGCGAACGGGCGGGGAAGGAAGACGGTCCATAAATCAGCGCCGCGGCCGCGGCGAGAAAAGGTCACGGAGGAAGGCTCGGGGAGAGAATCGGGACGGATTTAATGAGGTACGGCTTTACTTTCCGTGTTTTCCACGGGCGTTTCTGTACGACCGACGAAATTACACCTCGCCTCACGACGCCGCCGAGGGAGTATTCCCGATATTAATTCCTAGATTCCTATCGTTTTATTCGCGCGTGTTCGTGTTTTCCTCACCGCGCTTAATCGATCGGCTGGATACCGGCGCAAAATACCGCACGGCTGTTGGCCGCGCTCGCAAACGATATACCGTCCGATAGCATCCAGCGGATCTATCGATTCCGCATCTCTCGGGGAATTTAATGAAACCTTCGGCCGCGAATAAGACGAAGGCAATTTTCTATCTAATTTCGATAGCCATCGCCGCGGCCGAGCACCGGCTAGGATCGTTGTAATTATTAACGGACGGTCGTACTCGTCCTTCGAGAATAGCTCATTATAAGGATCAACCTTTGATTACGTTTCCCGAAATAGAACGCACGCTTTTGCAATTCTCAACAGCTCAACGGTGGGTTTTGACGCTATTGTCATATTTCAATTAAGCATCTAAAAAGGAACTTGGAGCATGGAGATTATATCGAGAGTACAGAGTTTTGTTGAAGGATCTAAAAATTTGGCCAGATACAGATCTGAAAATAATTTTGTTGAGCCAACGAAATTATCATGTAAGACTTAAAGCATGTTGACAATACTACAAAATTTGTTTATATTCTAGCAATCAGTTTGAACATCATATAATTACTTTGATGATCTAACAAATTTATTTTGTTTGTATCTGAAAATTTTTAGATTCTTCAGCAAAATTCTTCTTTCCGTGTAATCTCGAAAACATTGCAATGTAAATGTAAATTTACAATGTAGATAAAAATTTACAATGTAGATGTAGACTAGTTGTCCTTTATCGCCGAGGCTTCTGCTGCTCCGAGAGGAGCTCGTAGAACGCGCGCTACTACGCGCGGCGTGCGTAAAAACAAACTTTCGTACGAGATTGCACGCGGCATCGCCGAGCGACTAGAAACGAAGGAATACTGAATAATTCAGGCAGTGACCGTAGCGAGTGACGTCACGATAGTATTCAGCCGGTGGACTGTTCAGGCTGAGCGACCATGCGTAACCCCATCCGCTCGGCCGCTGCCGTCGCCGCTGCCGTCGATGAAAATTTCAACTTTCCGCAAATGTACTCTCACACACACATACACACACACTCGACGGAAAAACAGAGATACGAGGAGGAAAAAAATTTTTAATCTAATTCGCGCGTTACAAAATCTCGAGGTTCGCCCCTGATGGCATGCGCATCGATTGCGTCGATTTTCGCAAATTGAATTTCCTCTCGGTCGAATGGCTTTTTACGTCGAGCCTATCTCCGTGTCCGTTACACTTGTGCCATAATGCGTATTTAGTTGCGACATTCAGGCCCTTGTGCAAAGGAGCCTGTGATATTAGCCCGTGACGTATCCGCGAAAATCCGATCCAGACGTGATACTCGTGGACGTACGTCGACTCTTTCGACATCTTTCATCCTGGCCTCGTTATCATCCAGAGGCCATCACCGGATATCTCGCAATACATACCGTCTTTTTCCCGCTATTGTATGGAAATGCTAGGAAGAGGTCTTTCTCATCGTGTGCAGAGTCGATCTGTTCGCAGTTACAAAGGACGAACGAAATAGAAATCGAAATAAGACTATCATTAGAGACGACATCGAAACCGCCATTGTTCCGATATTCGCACCGTTCTCTAAATGGTTCAACGTCAATGTCAGCTGTTTGTCGGGTTCGATTGAAAGCCTCGAAATCTAAGAATTCTATCTATTCCGCACATCCGCTCTCTTTCTTCGATCTTTTCTTCAATGAAAACTCGTAGAAAATATTTAACATTTGTCTCGGTTGAACAGGCAAATATGTATCGCGGAAAGAAAATGCAGTTGTAATTAAAGATTTTTACAAAAGGATGTATTTTATCATAAAGAAGACTCATTTTTATTTTTATTTTTATTTTTTTTTGTAATTTTTATTTATTTCATTTTTATTTTAAATTCTTTCCGTAAAAGACTCATTGAATGAGTCTTTTATGGGAATGAATTTAAATGGACGTTTCCACGTCTGAAATGTTTAATTAGTATTTCTTAACGTCTTCATGTTTATTAGAATCAATGATTAGATTTTAATTAAGATGGATGCGATCGCGCGTTTCTTGGCCCTTCTCGCGCTCGGATGAAATCGACGCTCGAAATTGTTGCATCGCTCCTTTCACTCGTTCCCGCGAAACGTCTTTGTGACCCACGCGCGAAATACAGGACCGCGTGTTCGATGGAGTTCTTCTCTTGCGCGTTCGAAAAATTAATCTGGCGCGTGAGAAAATCCGCGCTTGCAAGTATCTCGGGCGCGCTTATCGTCGTTAGGAGTTAACGTCAAGTTTCACCTCACACGTGGGAGATTTTCACACGGGAGAGGATATATATGTACAATCGACAATATACATTGAAAGCGATGCGGAATATTTATCGCGCGCGTTGGCGTATAGATATTCCCGATTGCACAAAAGA